CTCTCCAGCAGGAATGTCCCAACCCTTTGTCATTCAGCGCCCTAGCACCCTGGCTTACAGCTATAGAGGAGATGACAGGGGACCCCTGAAGGCTGGCTCACTGAGGGGAAGTCTGCCCAGCAGCTAGTGATGTCACACACAGTTGGCTCACTTTGATTGGCTGCTTCCTCTGCATGGGAGAGGATGCTCCCAGTAGTGGGCAGATGTCTGTGGGTCCCCTCTGGAGCAGGTAGCTTCAGTCCATGTTATGGCTCCTCCATCGGTCTGACCCTTCTTATATCAATCTAACCCAGTTTTTTGACCTTTCCTCTTCCACATCTAAGTGTCTTTTGTCAGTTTGCAAATCTAAGGCCCCTTCATCACTGTCACCCCCTTTAGTCGGGGACACCCCACCTCTCTCACCCTCAGCCTTCCCTGTTGCTCTTAATGCTACACTGTCACTCTAACCAGGTCCCTCTGATCCCTCTGTCACCCTGACCCCTGCCCTGTCACTCTGACCCTTCCCTTGTCAACCTGAGCCTTCCCCATTACCCTCAATCACCCTCCCCCCTCTGCTGTCAACCTAGCCCCTTACCCATCACCCTGACAACTCCAGTCCCTCGGACCCCCATTGCCTCTCCCATGCTTAGCTGTGCTTCCTTCTCCTTCCTCCCCTCCTCCTGTTTCCTTTCCCAGCCTGGACTCTCCTCTCAGCCTTCCATCCCAGCAGCTCAGTGCCTTCTGACTGGTCACACCCCCTTCCCCTCCCTCCTCACACTCTTTCTTTACCCTTTTCATTTGATCTTAGGATTTTTCTAGCCACTCTGGTCTATTTTCTCTGATGCCTCTTTCATCTTCTCCTTACTCACTGACTGATCTAGGACAAGACCCTTCTCTTTCTGAACCACAGCCAGTTTCATTATCACCCAAATGGGTATGATCAGCCCTAACTCACAGGTTTGTTTGAGGACTCAGTGTGGCCAGACGTGAAGAGCAGCAGGCAAGATGGCTCCCACGGGATGCCTTTCTCCCTTGCTGCTCCTCTCTGCACACTGCCTTTATCTTTTGCAGGGTTCTTCTCCTTGATCACAGCTGCAGGACAGGACAGAAAATCCAGCAGGGTATTTGGCTGAGGCTTAAGGAGAAGGAGGAGGAGAGAAACATTGAGCAAAGTCAAGAAGAATTGGGCAGGCTGAGACTCTGGAGAAGAGGAGAATGGCAGGAAATGGGCCAGAGTGGGGGTGTGTTCAGGAGGCACCTCCTGGCACCTTCATTGAGCTGGCCCTGTGCTGTTTGATGAGAATGTTCAGAGGAACAGGACTGGGGTTTTGCCATCGGGGTCCTCCCCAGATATTTCATGGTATCTCCTCTAGTGAGTCCTTTATTCTACAAGTATTTATTAAGCACCTACTATATACTGACTTCCTATTGGGCTCTGAAGGTACAGGAGTGAACCACTCAAACTAGGTCACTTCCTTTAGGGAATTTACATTTGAGGGGATGAAATGTAGCAGAATTGGGTTCTGTTGTATATGATAAAAACAACCCAAGTAATAGTGGCTTGGGCAAGATAAATCCTGTTATCGCTCTCATAAAGTGGTTAAAGTGGTCTGGGATAGGGAGTCTCAAGCAGATTGGCAGCTTCAATGATCATGAAGACCTAGGATCCTTCTCAATTTCTGCTCCACCATCCTAGCCTTCCTTCTAGCCACAAAGTGGTGTCATAGCCCAAAATGGCTACTGAAGCTCTAGCTATTGCACTAGTATTCCAGGTAGCAGGAATAAGAAAGGATGGAAAGGCAGAAGGGCAAAAGAGGGCCCCTTGCTGCCTCTTGGGTTTCCTCTGAGTCTTCTCTTCCACTTCCACTTATATATCTGGGCTGGCCTCCATCACATGCTGCAAGGGAGGCTGGGAAATGCAGTCTCTCAATACAAATAAGATTTGTGCCAAATAAGATTAGTGTTTTCTTACCAAGGAAGAGTAGAATGGTCATTGCTAGGTCACATGCCCAGGTATGCAGGCAGTAAACAAGCAAGCAAATGATTATGATGACTCCAAATGGCATTAAGTTAAGGTAGTTACGATAGAGTAACAGGAGGAAGCCTCTCCAGGTAGGACACCTTGGGGCCAACATCTGAAGGAAACCTGAAACTTGCAGACCCTACCCAATCCCACCTTTCTTTTTTTTTTTTTTT